AGTAAAAGAATAATTCTAGTGCTAGTACTAGTATTATTAAGAGTAACAGTAATAACGAAATTGATACTAGCAGTAGCAGTAGCAGTAGTAGTAGTAGTAGTAGTAGTAGTAGTAAAAGTAGGAGTAGGAGTGGGAGTTGGAGAGGAGCAGAAGTAGCAGTGGCAGTGGCCGCGATACGGGCAGGCAATGCTTCTCCGCGATGCTACCAGATGGCTCTCTTGTAAAACGAAGGGCGTGCATGCCTTTGGCACGAGTTACTTCGTAAGGGCTACAGTAATTAACAAGGGATTCCACGGAACGTGAGGGCTTTGTGCTCCCCTCGCAACCGCAAATATCAGCTCGCTTTCGGAAGCTTGTGCTTCCGGCAAGCTGGCTGGTCAAAAGGGCCAGAGGTCCACGTGATGCGAGTGTGCGTGATCTGTGGAATTCATGAAGACACAGCCAGTGGTCAGGCCCCAAAGGTGATCGGGGCATGTAAAAGCGAAATAAATCTTGGCGATGATCCAAGCTATGAACACCAGGCCAGATAAGTAAGCTGCCGTCACGAGCAAGATCGAGAAAAGTATCGAGCATCTCTCCCTGCACACCGCACCCTGCTCAAACAACCTGCGCGTGATTCCTGAAGAAGCCCCACACAGGCATCAGCTTGTTGAGTGCCATCGCCAGGCCGACGAACATGGAAGCCAGTACCTTCCAGTGCCCACTCCTGTCCAAATCGTCGAAGATAATGCCGTAGAGGGAGGCCTGCAACGCATGAAACATGGGTACCGCCGGCAGCTGTTGTGGAGCAGAAAGTCTTCTGTCTGGGCCCATGGATCTGAGACGCCCTCATGGTCCAGGTACTTTAACTGTAGGTACCCAGCTGCGTGCATCTGCTATGTATGCTAATGCACTTAGACAAGCTGCGAACTTGAAACGCAGCCGATGTCCTTTGGCATAAGATGTTGACGGCGATGACGGTGATGATGATGATGATGATGATGATGATGCTGATGATGATGATGATGATGATGATGATGCTGATGATGATGATGATGATCATGACGATGATGCTGATGGTGCTGATGATGCTGATGATGATGGTGGTGATGATGGTG